CACGCACTGATCGACCAGCATGAGTTGCACAATAAAATACGCCATGTCATCGTGTGCCTTGTTTACACTGGGCTAATGTTTGCGGGAATTGTCAGCACCGCACCAGAAACGGCAGCATTCTAGAAACGTACGGCGCGTACCAAGCACCCTTTACTATAATATTATCCTGTTTAAAAATTGGGAAAAGTGGCCCTGCGCGGGGGGGGGGGGGCATTAAATATTTTGTTTCAGGTCCACCACCTTTACCAACCCGTTCTCCTGTGATGGCTTGAGTAGATTTCTTCTAGTGGGTCAGAGTACGCGACAGACCAAAACAACGTGGCCACGCCCTTGAAAAAAGATCAGAAGGAAAAAAAAAAAGGGAAAAAGAAAAAAAAAACGGTTTTATTTGATCAAAGCAATCATCGGTGACCTACTTATTTATTACGGGCGTACAGTAGAACTGGGTTGTGTCGACGGCCTCGGGTTTGCCAAAAAGAGTCGAGATAACCGATGATCGAGATAACCGAAATATAATCACCAAAATATAAACATGTGCTAGAAATTTCTTTTTCTTTATGTACATGATGTGCGTTTATGCATGCAGGTACTTCAGTAAAAAAAAAAAAATAATTAATATTACAGTTATTTAGAGCAAGTTTCAAATTAGAAAAATAAAACCAGAACCAACTTTTTAACTTCAGTAGCTTTTGAGCTACGAATTTTTAAAGTGTGAGTTCGTTTTTGTATTTTCTACTATGGGCGAAGCCTCCACATTTTGTGACCTCATTCTGCTGATCGTGTCTTACGCAATGACTATGTAGTTTATATAAGGCAACGAAACCCCTTATTACTAAAAAAAATACTAACTAGGGACTACTTATTTTGAACTGTCAACTTTGGCACATGACTATTTAATTAAAGCTTTCACTGTTTAATAGCTTTTGCACACAGCAAACTTGTATGAATGAAACTCTGACGTAGTACCACGGCGGGGCCATTGTGCACGTGACCGTGAATGGCTGCCCATGACAACGTTTTGCACACGGCAAATTATGATCATTTATAATATGGACTCTACCGGGTTTTTAAACCACGAATTAAAACATATTTATTTAAATTACTTCTGGGTTCATTCTAAAACACAAGTCCTGTATTTTTAGAAACAAACAATTATTTTTAATTATATAAAACTTGTTTATTTTTTGTTTGCTATTTCTTCTTGCGGAGATCAAAAGCCGGCGACTGGTCATGGGGATCGAGATAACCGTGGTTAAGTGGCAAAGTAAAATTGTTCGATGTGCACGAAACTCTTAATCTTGTGTGCATGTAACATTGTCCGATGTGCATGAACAAAAAAAAAAAAAAAGAATAATTTCGTTTGGTGTGTGTAAAGCCCCTCCTTGCACGGCGAGCATCGGACATCTGACCAGATATCTGTGAGCTCAGTGTAATAGTTCGAGTGAATACCCTGCCTTAGGGCCCAAGAAACCCCTGCCTTACTGCCCATGAAACCCCTGCCTTAGGGCCCATGAAACCCCTGCCTTACTGCCCATGAAACCCCTGCCTTACGGCCCATGAAACCCCTGCCTTACTGCCCATGAAACCCCTGCCTTACGGCCCATGCAACCCCTGCCTTACTGCCCATGAAACCCCTGCCTTACTGCCCATTAAACCCATGCCTTCGTGCCCATGAAATCCCTGCCTTCGAGCCCATGATACCACTACCTTTCATAACTCTAAGTCCAGTTTAAACAGTTATGCCAATTGATGTTTGTTATTAATGTCTGTTGTTTTTCTTTCTTGCACTTAGTCGTTCTGCACACCGTGTGTAATATATTTAGGAATGATTCAATTAATTTTTAGTCCCTTTCGCATTTTTTAATTTTTATTTTCGGTAACCTGTCACTTGCCCCCACCACCTCCTTTTTCACTCTCCCCCCTCCCTTCCTTTTTCACTCTCCTCCTTATTTACCCCACCCCACGCCAGTTAATATACTTTTGTTTTTATTCCATTCAACATTGGGTTAGTGTAACACACCAGTAAGTTCCACCTCAGCGTTTTCATTTAATTGAAATCAGACAACTCTCTCCAGACATATTGATAAGGAATGAGGAGTTGCCGTCCTTATGAAATCTGCACGCACTGATCGACCAGCATGAGTTGCACAATAAAATACGCCATGTCATCGTGTGCCTTGTTTACACTGGGCTAATGTTTGCGGGAATTGTCAGCACCGCACCAGAAACGGCAGCATTCTAGAAACGTACGGCGCGTACCAAGCACCCTTTACTATAATATTATCCTGTTTAAAAATTGGGAAAAGTGGCCCTGCGCGGGGGGGGGGGGGCATTAAATATTTTGTTTCAGGTCCACCACCTTTACCATGGGGGGGGGGGAGGTGTCTACCCTGGTTGACGGAACAATTGTCTACCCTGTTTGGTGAAGCTTTTGTCTACCCTGTTTGGTGGAGCCATTGTCTACCCTGTTTGGTGGAGCCATTGTCTACCCTGGTTGACGGAGCCATTGTCTACCCTGTGTGGTGGAGCCATTGTCTACCCTGTTTGACGGAGCCATTGTCTACCCTGTTTGACATAGCCAGTGTAATCAAGTATATGAATTCACTTGACAGAGCCAGTGTACTAATCAAGCATATTAATTCCCTTGACAGAGCCACTGTACTAATCAAGCATATGAATTCACTTGGCACAGCCAGTGTACTAATCAAGCATATGAATTCACTTGGCACAGCCAGTGTACTTATCAAGTATATGAATTCACTTGACAGAGCCAGTGTACTAATCAAGCATATTAATTCACTTGACAGAGCCACTGTACTAATCAAGCATATGAATTCACTTGGCACAGCCAGTGTACTAATCAAGCATATGAATTCACTTGGCACAGCCAGTGTACTAATCAAGTATATGAATTCACTTGACAGAGCCAGTGTACTAATCAAGCATATTAATTCACTTGACAGAGCCACTGTACTAATCAAGCATATGAATTCACTTGGCACAGCCAGTGTACTAATCAAGCATATGAATTCACTTGGCACAGCCAGTGTACTAATCAAGTATATGAATTCACTTGACAGAGCCAGTGTACTAATCAAGCATATTAATTCACTTGACAGAGCCACTGTACTAATCAAGCATATGAATTCACTTGGCACAGCCAGTGTACTAATCAAGCATATGAATTCACTTGGCACAGCCAGTGTACTAATCAAGTATATGAATTCACTTGACAGAGCCAGTGTACTAATCAAGCATATTAATTCACTTGACAGAGCCACTGTACTAATCAAGCATATGAATTCACTTGGCACAGCCAGTGTACTAATCAAGCATATGAATTCACTTGGCACAGCCAGTGTACTAATCAAGTATATGAATTCACTTGACAGAGCCAGTGTACTAATCAAGCATATTAATTCACTTGACAGAGCCACTGTACTAATCAAGCATATGAATTCACTTGGCACAGCCAGTGTACTAATCAAGCATATGAATTCACTTGGCACAGCCAGTGTACTAATCAAGCATATGAATTCACTTGGCACAGCCAGTGTACTTAAAAGCATATGAATTCACTTGGCACAGCCAGTGTACTTATCAAGTATATGAATTCCCTTGACAGGGCTAGTGCACTAAATAGACTTCACTACACAGAGCAAGTGTACTAATCAAGTAAATGAATTCACAAGAACATGGTATGCAACGAATCCCATAATGTTTGTAATGAGATTGTAACGTGTCCCATAATTTACGACGATAGCGGAATGCCAAGTGTGTCACAGATGTGGCACGGCACTTCGATTCTAAACTTTTCGGTATTTAATTTAATGTTCTCTATCAAGGCAGGTAAGCCCAATCGTTAGAAACCTTGGGACGGCTGGGGTGACAGGCAGGTGCTACGTCACACAGAAATGCGTTGGGCAGCCAAGCAGATGGAGCTAGTTGCCGATGTGTTAGCTGGCTCTCCCACTGATATTAATTTCGCATCAGTCAAACCTAATCACGGCAGGTCGTCCCATTCAGCCTCTCTTATAAGGGCTCAATCCAGGCAGGTAATCCAGTTCAGCATATCAATTAGGACCCAATCAAGGGAGGTAATCAAGTTCAGCATATTAATTAGGACCCAATCAAGGCGGGCAATCCAATTCAGTACATTAATTAGCACGCAATAAAGGCAGGTAATCCAATTCAGCATATTAATTCAGACCCAATCAAGGCAGGTAATCCAATTCAGTATATTAATTAGCACGCAATCAAGGCAGGTAATCCCATTCAGCATATTTTTTGGACCCAATCAAGACAGGTAATCCAATTCAGTAAGTTACAGGCAAAGTGTGAAATGCAGATATTGTATAGAATACCTAGGAATTATATAGAATACCTTAAGTTTTTAGGCAAAGTATTAAATATTTGATTTTCGTGATTTTGTTACATACTTTGCCTAGGCATTTGTACATTGAATAGGTATTTTTTACATAAGGCCAAAATACTTCAGGCAAAGTTTCACAATAGCGTAATGAAAACGTTTTTATTGGAAAAATATATTTGAAAACGAAAGAAGACATGTGGAATAAGTAAAGGACGTTCTTAACAACGAAATCGGAAAGCCAAGTTGGCACCGAGCTACGTGCTGCAGCTAGTAAGGCAAGCAAAGGTGGCACCGAGCTACGTGCTGCAGCTAGTAAGGCAAGCCAAGGTGGCGCCGAGCTACGTGCTGCAGCTAGTAAGGCAAGCCAAGGTGGCACCGAGCTACGTGCTGCAGCTAGTAAGGCAAGCCAAGGTGGCGCCGAGCTACGTGCTGCAGCTAGTAAGGCAAGCCAAGGTGGTGCCGAGCTACGTGCTGCAGCTAGTAAGGCAAGCCAAGGTGGCACCGAGCTACGTGCTGCAGCTTGTAAGGCAAGCCAAGGTGGCACCGAGCTACAGCTAGTAAGGAAAGCCAAGGTGGCACCGAGCTACTTGCTGCAGCTAGTAAGGCTGGATTGGCATTTTGAATTGCACTTAATTTTCTTTTTTCGCACCAAGACACTTCATTTTTTTTGCATTTGGCTTTGCATTTGGTTGCAAGATAAACCATTTCATACTTTGCCGACAAATTTCAGGCATTCTTTATAATTCCTAGGCATCCTATACAATGCAGGATTTCACACATTGCCGGTAACAAGTATATTAATTAGCACCCAATCAAGGCAGGCAATCCAATTCAGTCTCTTATTTCAGACCGAGGCAAGTTGGGTAGTTAATTCTTATAAAAATGAAATGTTTGCTGTGTCCTCGTGGCCGAGCCCTTACATACTGTAACAGCATTTTATAAAGAAAAATGTAATAAGTTGCTCAGGATAATATACATTTAAATCTTACATACTGTAACAGCATTTTATAAAGAAAAATGTAATAAATCACTCAGGCTAATACACATTTAATAAAGATTATTTTGGAATTTTGAACAATCGCATCATTTCTCTCATCATTGCTATACAGTTTGTCAAAATTAAATGTGTTTACAGATGAGAAGAAACAAATTTGCTACAAAACATTTTCAGGTGGAAACATAGAAGGGAATACAAAAAGAGAGGGATGTTTCTGTCCTATAATTAGCAATTTGATTAAAAAAGACTCCACATATTGTAATGGATGAAATCCTCCACCCCCCCCCCTCCCTTTTCCAACATAAAGTTCATCCAAAAAAATAATTGTTGCTTTGTTGTTTGTCATTAAAATTTAAAAAGGAGAAACATAAAAAGGAAAACAAAAAGAGAGGGATGTTTCTGTCCTATAATTAGCAATTTGATTAAAAAAGACCCCACATATTGTAATGGATGAAATCCTCCCCCCCCCCCCCCCTCCCTTTTCCAACATAAAGTTCATCCAAAAAAATAATTGTTGCTTTGTTGTTTGTCATTAAAATTTAAAAAGGGAAAAACTTATTTTTCTTCTCTGTAAATAATTATAAAAAACAATTTATTTTTTATTGCACACAGTACAAATTGGAATAATAGCTTGAATGACAAAAAATTTCAACTTATTGGTGAAATTAACTTTTTTTAAAAATACAAATATTGAAACACATGTTTTGATGATGTCTTCTCTGATTTTATTTTCAAAAGACAGAAGAAAAAAATATGTACAAGAAAATTGTTTATCTTAATATAAGCATGTTACATGCCAGGTGTAGCTAACATTGAATGAGTTCAGTTGGGTTTAGGACAAAACATTTCAGTTCAAAAAGCCCATTATGTGTCTCGTGATCTCATTTTTTAAAAAAACAATACATCAAGACATGTAACGGGACTCAGATGTGATAGATAGATAGAAGGAACCTACTTAAAATGAAAAAATAAACAGAAGACTGTACATTGAAGTCTCTGTTTATTTCTCACAGCTAACAGTGAATAAAAAAAAATTGAGTGTCACTTGCCTAATATTGGAAAAAGAAAAAAAACAGAATGTCACATAATAACACAATAAAAATTTTGATCAATCTAAAGCCTCCTATTTTCAGAAACATAAAGAGATATCTATATTTTAATGACAATTTTTAACTGGTATTTATGGTCTTTTTTTGTACTAAAAAAATTTATGTTTCGCTTTTCTATTTTGTGAACCATCAATAAATCCCAGACTGTAAAAATATTCTTAACTGTCTACTATTCATTTTTTTAAAATAGACTAACCACAAACAAACAAAAAAACAAACATTAAAAGGTAATATTTAAAAATAAGCCCCAGCAGTCCATCAGCTAGTTCATGGGAGTTAGTCCTTCCGACAAGGGGCTTATTTGTACCATATTCTGTCAGTCACACAAGATCACTGCTTGGGTCCCAGTTGTCTACTTTTACAAGTGTCAGAAATAAATACAAACCTGTTTCCACATGTTTGAAATTTAAAACCTTTACCCCCGTTTTTCTTGAAGGACTTTGTCGTTCTCCTCTCAATACTTCAAAAAAAACCTTTCACTTTCAATTTGAAAGGAAAATTAAAAAATAATAATTGATCCAGAGGTGAGTTTTATGACTTGCGGTATTCTATCCTCTCTACTTTGACTTCATCGTCAATGAGTTTGTAAATGTAGGACACGACTGTTGACTGTTGGATGTCGAGGATAACAAATGATGGAATCACGCTGCTGCAAAAGGAGAAAGGAAACGAGAAGGTGTAATTAATCAGCCAGCAAAGGATTTCAGTAAATAAGAGAATATAAATAGCTTTCTTGGTGTGTCCAAGCACAGCTTTCTTCATGTGTACAAGCACAGCTTTCTTGGTGTGTCCAAACAAAGCTTTCTTGGTTTGTCCAAGCACAGCTTTCTTCTGTGTCCAAGCACCAAGTAATTATTTTTTTATGATGTACTCAATTATAAAATAGCTTTGATCTAAATTAGTAAAAAAAAAAGAAACAATTTTCAACTTGCCTGTCTAGAGCATAATATGACCCTGTGGCTGATCCGGGGTTGAGGAAGAATTTCCCTTCATGCTCTAGGGCCTGAAATTTGTGTGTCTGTCCCGAGATGAGAATGTCAACGTCTAGTTGTCTCTGTACCATGGCAAGGCTCTCAATGTCCCCCCAGGGAACGACTTGATGACCGTGACACAAACCTATGCGGAACTGACCAACAGTGACCACTTTTTGCTCAGGATAGTTCATATTCTGTTTCAGAAAAGAAAAGCAAGATTAAATGCCAGTTTCTAACATTCGCAAAAATTCTTCCTGACCAATTTTACCAAATACCGATTCAACGCCATAACAGCCAAATCTGGCCACTCGACTTGCTTTTATACGTTGCTATATAGAAAGCACATATCTTGCCATGTAAATGAAAGTCTGGCAAGATAAGAGAACAAGGGAGATTAACTCCAAATATTTTGTATCTTATTGATTTGGCAATAGTAGATTAATTTTTTTACATTTATAATCATGAGTAGTCGAGTACTTTGTAGCTGTTTGACATTAATGAATTTACAAATAATATAATACAACATTTAAAGCAACAAATTATGAATGTGAATTATGTCATTTCATATAAATATATTTCAAAATCGATATGTTTTAAATTTTATTCTAAACTTATTAGTACATCAGTGAATCCCTTCAGATGGGGTTCTCAATCGATTGAGAATTGAATGGGTAAAAAAAATGTATTGTCTCCAAAAACAATTGCCAGGAATATTAAACAGATTTAACTTAAATGAATCCAAATATCATAAAAAATTCCAGGTATTATTTTCTAATCATTATTCAAACTGTAAATTTTATAGTTGTGTAATTCAAGATGGTATTTTAAAATGGTGAAGCTAATGGCACAGAGAAACCCAAACACTTCCTGATCATTAAGAGAAGATGAAACTGTCAAACTATGTTTTAAACAAACCTCATCAAAATCTCCACGAACTACATGAACATCACTAGCTAGGGTTTTAAGGTAATCAAAAGATTCCTTGGTGCATAAGTTCCCTGTACACAAAATGTGTTGGATTTTACCAGGTACCAAAAGTTTCTTAAACCGAGCAGGTAGAGAGTTGCACCTGTGTGGTATGTGTAGATCTCCAAGGACTAGGACCAGCTGTAGATTGAGAAATATATAAATGATTAAATTACATGTACAAATGTTGCACTATTTAAAAGGTGTGTGTGTGGCTTGACCAAGATATGGTAAAGACTTAATGTTTTCTTTACCCTTCTTTATCAGATGATGATTTCAAGATATTTTATTGTAATTTAAGTCTATAATCAGATAAAAAAGAATGTTGTTATTTCTATTTTACTCAAGTTCTTTAAAGAAAATACGATTTTCTCATAAAATTAGGGTATCCATCCACACGTTCACAGTAATGGACATCTTGGCTTACATTTCCAATGTAATTTTCGCCCTTTGAATCAACTCTAATTTTGGAAATTTTTAGACATATATAAGGCATCTTATTCTAAATTTTGTAAAGTCTTTTATGATAAATATTCCATCCATCTCTGTGGAGATACAGACTGTGTAGGGCTTTGGCCTGCCTCACAACTTTCTTCCACTCAGACCTAACTGATGCCTTTCTTCTTCTTCTTTATTTTAAGGGCCTACGATCAATGAATTGATCATTCTGGCTCCTATGTTTCAGAGGGGTTTGCGATGTTACTGTCCATGGGTTTCAATGGGATACTTCACTGGTTGCAAGGGCGACTCAGCAGTGGTGTTATGAACTGGGGGTTGGAATACAGGAGGCAATAGACACAAATGTATCGAGTGTAGCCGCCTCAACTGTTGCTTTTGGAAGCTTGTTCCAGTCCCCTATTGTCTTCGGCAGGAATGAGGAGCTTCTGTACTTCGTTCTTGTTTTTACCAGCCGGAACTGTTTGTCGTGACTTCGTCGCAGTCTGGGGGGAAGATTAACGAGTTTCTGTTTGATTCCGGAGCAGTGCACCAGTCCATTTGTTATCTTGTACAACATGGTGAGCCTGGATAGTCGTCGTCGTTCTTCCAATGTCGACCAGCCCAGTGTTTCCAGCATGCTGCCAACACTCGAGGTGCTTCTGTAGCGGTTCATGACAAAGCGTGCTGCCCGTCGCTGGACCGCCTCCAACCTGTCTATGCTTTTCTGGGTAAATGGGTCCCAGACTGTAGAAGCGTACTCTAAAATAGGTCGGACAAAGGCTTTATAGGCTTTTTCTTTCACGCTTGAGTTGCCGATCTTCAGATTGCGCCTTAGGAACCCCAGGATCTTGTTTGCCCGGTTGCTTGGATTCCTAGCTGCTGTGGATCTTTTTTCACATCATACATCCAAGCCTAGGTATGCCTTTGAGCCCTTTTCCTCTGTAGTTTTGGTGGTGCACACTCTTCACTCCTCTGTCATTTGGCATTCTTTCTAAATGTCCCGCCCAGTGCCGCCTGCCCTTTTTTATTTCTACTACTAGCGTGGGATCATGAGAACTTTTCTCTTCCATGTGTTTAATATGTTTTCCTCAGCATTATATATTGATGTATATGAGTGCAGATTCCAAATGAGTAAGGAAATATTGGCCATTAGTTATATACACCCCCTTTTTAAAGGCAGAAGTCACCCAAACTTAGAATTTATTCTATTGTTACAAATATTTACATCAATATATTTGATTGTGTTTTAGAATGAACTTAAAAGGCAATATTTTAATTTGAGCTTTAAATCCAGGTAGAGTCCATACTAAAAATAATCATAATTTGATGAGAGCAAAACGTGGTCATGGGCAACCATTAACAGTCCCTTGCATGTGCTATAAACATGTGCTCAAAACATATCTTTTTAAATTATACTATCCTGACTGATTCCCCTCCTCTGATCGATAAACGATCTTACTGGCTGCCGTCCATGGTTTGCCTTGTAAAATTTATGTGGTGGGGTGGGTGAATATACATTGCTGTTCTTTATTTCATAAATGTATTTTATTTTAATGCCATGATTATGTTTCTTTTGAAAAAATATTTTATGTACAGCGCGGTGAGCCCAGCCCTAGGCTGGGGTACAGCGCTATATAAGACCTCTTATTATTTTTATTATTATAATACCTATAGTATTATTCTTATAGTTTCATTTATAAAAGAATGCCATATGCAAACACTATTTAATCATTGGTCAGGGAAAACTTTAATTAATAAGTCATGTGCAAAAATTGAAATGTCAAAATAAATAATCCCAAACCAGTATTATTGTCGAGGGGATGGATTGGCTTAAATATAGAATATATTCATATACCAGTATGATGGACATTAATCCAGAAAATAAAAGTTGTGTATAATTATCACAAAAACAAGACTTATAACGCAGTACACAAACAGCTGAATTGGGTCACAGCATTAGAAAATGTTGTCGATGGCAAAAAGGACAAAGGACTCATACTTTTTAATTTTTTACCAAAGTACCTATAGACCTATGCTTTTTTTTTTAATAAATAAATTATATATAATTTTGCCTGTGGCTGCGTGCAATGCGGCGGTGTGCCTAGCAAAAAAACAACAAACTAGTGGGGGCAAAAAAATGATTTCAAATTAGATACCCTTTTTAGGCTTTAAGATTCACACTCATAGGATAAAACTTACAATAATTGATGAATAGATTTGTATTTCAAGATATGGGGCAGGGGGGGATATAAAGTGGTTAACTTTAAAACTAAACCAAGGTTAAACATTACGCTCCCCCCAATAAATATTAAGAAATGCTTTGCTCCTTACAAGTAATTTGCCACAAAAGTGTGGAACTTACCCAATATCTTCCTCCCAACCCCCAAAATAAAAAATAATATAAATTTATTTACATAAAAAAAATTATACATGTACAGTCTTATAGGAACGTCATTCCCTTGCATTCATGCAAGACTCGGGCTGGGCACAATAAAAAAGGTAAATTGGAAGATAGGATGCCATGATTTTCAACAAGACCAGTTAATTCTGCAACTAAATTTATTTATTTAATTATTTAGGCATTTTTATATAGCGCTTACCTTAAAGCTCTAAGCGCTTTACAATTATTAAAAACATGTAAACTAAGTAAAATAAAAATGAGACATTAGGATAGTAACTACTATACTATAGAAACAATTAAAATGGCTATAAAACGAGGACTAAATCTACTAAGTAGGCCTAAATGTATCCCTAAACCTAACCTATACCCTAAATTTATCCCTACACCGAGCATAAAAAAATGTCAGTACTATTTTTGTTTAATCTTGCAGGTATTAAATCATAATCTTAAATGATTTTAAATAATTAGTTTTCAGTTTTAAAAAAAAGAGTATTACTATTACGTTAATCCACAAGTAGATTAGGTTGGGCCAAAAATTTAAAGACTCGCAAAGACCATGGTTCGGTTGTTTAAATCTCTGGTAAAAGTGCAGTTCAGGTGCGTATATTATTTCTTAACGCATTTCGTATTTTAAAATTTTTTTATCATGTAAACTTACGTATTCTTTAATAATTAAATACAGGCAGTTTATAGTTAACTAATTCTGAATTATAAGTCGCATCTTTTCTTTTTATTTTACTTCTAAAGAGTCTTTAACCATCCCCCAACCAAAGTGACACAGCCCCATTTGTTTGTATTTTTCTTTTCACCCTATGCCAGATTTTTAGCCACCTATAAGTTAGTATACTAAACGAAATTTTCAAACTGTAAGCATGTTCACAAAAAAGAATGAAATACTAGATTTTTCATTACGCACAAGCCCCCCTTTTCTTTATTTTTCTTCTCAGAGCGCTCGGAATATAGGGGTTGTCCTTTGAAGTTGGGGGGGGGGGGGGGGGGAGATTAGAAGTGGATCACTGACGAAGGCAGTGGACACACACGTCATCATTGTCCTGGACCTGGAGGGAAGCTGAAAAAAAGGGGGGCGTTGCACGAATACGTGCCAATATGTGATCACGTGTCCACTTTAAAAAAAATTTATTTGTGCCGTTGCACAAATGGGAGAAATCGGAATGATAGCGTGGGGTCATTTTTATAGTCAGCTCATCCTGAAGGCTGCTAATATGCTGTCCATGATTGGTCCGCTCTAATTTGAGTACCCCTCCTCTTTTTTCGTATGCTAATGTGCTTATTAATGGTGACTGATTTGCGCTGAGTAATGTGAGGGCTAGTGATTTTTTTTTTTATATTATAAGACGGACTCGTTTTGGCTTTGCGGTATTGCTGGTTGTAGGATCATTTTGTTTAAAATGGCAGGACTACCAAGAAACAATAACTAAAATTGTTGATGCAACTGGCATTTTTAATGGTGCAGCATTTGGTTTAAACGCGCACCTTGTGGGGCAACAAATAACGTTAATACAACTGGAATTTTTCCTAAGGCGCTCGTAACAATTGCAATGTGGCTTGTAAGCTGGGTTCGTATGTCAAGTATGTGAGCTCCCTATAATTATCGGGATCTGCATATCACCGAAACGGGATCTCACCCGAAACCGGGATCAGGATCTCACTTGGATCAAAATCCTATCGGGATCGGAATCTCACCGAAATGGGATCCCACCGGATTGGGATCTCATTTAGTTTGGGATACCACCGGAAATGGATCTCACCGGGATCGGTATCTTACCGAGTTCGGGATCCCACCATGACCAGGATTCTATCGGAATCACATCGGATTCGGGATCCCATCATGATCCTTCCAGGTGCCATCGTAAAACGGGAAAAACGGAAAGTTTACATAAGTTATTTTAAGTGTTTTTATAGGAGACAAATTAATTATTATTATTTTTTTTTACTATAGTGTTGTTTTGTTGTTTACATTTCGTTTAATAGCAATGTGAACTAAAAGGATTTAGCAGATGTTTTTTTCTGAATGCAGCCCCCGGCAACTCCGGTTATAGTTGATAGTAAAGTTATAAAATAAATACATCATTTATTTTAACTAGATTCATCCAATTGGGCAACTTTTATAAAGTATCTTTATAGACAGAAGAGTTATCCTTGATTTACCACAACGGCTCTTTAAACACGAAAGATTCATAAAAATGTGCATTTTTTATCTCGTAAAATTTGTTAAATTGTTGTTGTATTCCAATAAAAAGATGGTAAATAACTTTTAAAATACTTTTTATAAAGAATTAACATAAGTTTACACGGGAAAATAAGAGATTCAAACAGAAATAATATAAGCACCTGAACTGCACTTTTACCAAATCTCTACCATCTACAGTACAGCGGTGAACATAGTGGTGGCCTAAAATTAAAGACTAAAGACTAATTTGGTCTTTAGTGGCCTATACTATACCAAACGGACTAAGTGATTTTTTAAAAAAATTGTAGCTTTTATTCCTTCACAATAACTGCATTCAACTAAACTAAGGTATATAACTAACTCAGTAACTGGATGAATAGTAGTGTAAGAAGTGTGCAGGTACAGGGAAGCTTGAACTCTGTGAAATCACAGACACGCCCACTGACACTGCTCTAAATGCGTCAAGGAATAAAAGTGATTAAGTAGTATGGGGAAAAAAGGAAGAAATACATATTTTGAAAATTAATGAATTTCAGCATTACCATTGTTAGTTGCTATGCACTTAAGTACAGGATAATTGAATAATTATTTTAACACAGTAAATACTCCTATATTCATTTACACAATACAACCATAACCGGAAGCCGGAAATTATAAACAATCACATGCACATAAATAATTTTACAACAAGATTAATGATTGGTTGGAGTGAAGGAAAAGGTCGAATAAAAATGCTTGAAATGAATTGGGAATCTTTATATCTTTTCGTACTATTAACAAACCACTCGCGTTTTACTTGTCCATTTTTAAATCGGAATTCCATGTGAATTAATATTACATAACTTGTTCAGTTAAAGTTCATTGACATTAACTGAAATGGGCTTGTAACGATGATTTTTGTAATTTACACTCAGGCAACACCCTCTCACCACCCCTCCTCCAGGTGACTTCACAAAACCTCTATTTGAAACTTTTCCCCCTTTTTTTCTTCCCCCAGGCCCACCCATGGCCAATTTAGAAAAAAAAAACAAAAAAAGTGATATTCTTTTCAGAGAATTCAGAGAATATCCACCCAGATTTGGATCTTATCATTAGTTTCTGTGGATTTTTGTTCAGATTTTTGTTTACCCTTCCCAAGAAAAGCTGGTTTGCTGGAGCTGTCTACCTGTTTCCAAAAGCTGAGGTCTACCCAGGATATAAACCATAATTACCTGCAAATTCATGGATATGAGGTACTTGTGTTGAGGCGACAACACTAGACACATTTGTGTCTATTGCCTCAAGCCTTCAAACCCCTAGTGCATGATTTCCTCATCAACACCAGTAACAGAAACATTGCAAATCCCATCTACATGCATAGGAGCCAAAATGATCAATAAATTGATCGTGGGCCCTTAAGATATAGAAGAAGAAATGCATCATATATTTTAACCAGCTTCTTGGTGAATTCAGCAATCATCTAATGATCAATAATTTTTCTAGTTATTTTATATTATCATCGCTCCCTAAAACAAACTGTCCTTCTTAAACACACCTTTGGGTTATCCATCCTAGACGCGCTACATCCCATGTAGGGCTTTGGCCAGCCTCACCACTTCCTTCCAATCAGACCTAACTATTGCTTTTCTTTTCCATGTTTGGATTCCCAGCTACTGCAGATCTTTTTCCACATCACCCATCCATCTAAGCTTAGGTCTGCCTTTGAGCCGATTTTCCCTGGGGTTTTTTTGGCGTACCCTTTTCACTCCTCTGTCATTTGGCATTCTCTCAAAGTGTCCTGCCCATCATAGCCTACCCTTTTTTATTTCTGCCACTAGCGTGGGATCCTGATTTAGACTGTAAAATTCCTAGTTGGTTCGTATTCTCCATCCATATTCCTCCTTTGTTAATCCATATATTTTCCTGAGAACTTTTCAATCCCATGTGTTTAATAGCAACCTAAATTTCAATAATTTTACAAAAAACTTCAAATTCAAATGCAGTTCCTTGTGGATACAAATCTGTGACCACCCCTCCCTTTTTTTCTACCCCAGGCTGTGAATGAATACATGTCGAAACCTAAAACAGTAATGACTTACACCCCAACTATCACAGGATATGAATGTTCATTTCAGATGGGGTTGAAAATCTGTAAACTCAATATTATAAATTTCAAATAAATGCAGTCTGCAAACTGGCAAATTGAAAAATAGGCATAGTTTACCTGGTACCATATAAAAGATTTTACTTAATGATTTGATTACGCATAACCCTCTCGAGTCAGAGGATTTTTAGACTGTCACTAGGTAAAAAAAAAATTGATATAAAATGAAAGAACACCGTACACTATCAATGGGAGAAACCATTAAAATAGCAAGAAATACTAGAAGCAATCTTAATAGCTAGTACAAAGACCAGCCAGCAAACCTCGAGGCTTTAATTTTTTAGCCTATGAATCGGCTTTTCATCTTTTTAGCGATTCGACTCTGAGGTGATAGATCAACCCAACCGCCTAAGGAGGGTTTAAGAAACTTTTTTTTAAAATTGCAACATAGCATACAAAACTATCCCTTAAGCATATTTACAAATAACAAACAATGTACTTTTCTCTGACAATTTTTTCAAATTTTTATTGTAAAATAACACATTCACATAGTTCAATGAAAAGCACTTTTTTTTTCATAATTTTTTCTTCTTTTTCATTAATTTTTGTGGACCAACAATCTTGAAGGTTGTTCTGCAAAGGAAGATAAAAAAAAACAACATTTGACTCTTGATATAAAAAAATGTGAGAGTCTAAAAGTAATGTTTTATTATTCTAATTAGTGTTAAGCAAGGTCAGAAAATTTCAGTGACTTAAATTTAAGGGTAGTAGCAGTTCTGTCAACACAACATGGAGTGGTTGGAAAGAATCAAAAAGCTTAATGCTTTATTAGTAATGAAAATGTTGACCACCAAATGATTTCTTTGATGCTGAATTTTCATATGCTTCTGTTTTAGTTATGGGACTGAATTTTACAATCCTATGCAAAGAATGATTTTTTTTCCTTAGGAAAACATCATGTGACCTAGGCCTCTTTCTACCTCTGAATAGTAAAGTACCCAAGCAATGGTAAGATTTATTTATATGAAAAGTTACTTACTGGCATGTAGAACAAATTGGACTGAAGGTACAGTAGACTGAAAAGTAAACATTAATAGTAATCTATTTAGAAATATAACTGCAACATATCATAGAGGTAGAACAGAAATAATACTAAAGCAAGCATGATAGCCTCCTGGTGCTAGTACATAGCACAAATTACTCTCACTAAATTTACTAAATTATACACATTTAATTTGAAATTTAAGTCAGTGATAATATCTCTATAAAAAATGGGAGAACCTCCTTACTAGATAAGCAAACAGAACAAACATATCCAATATCAATGAGATGCCTGTGGCAAAAACAAGCAGCTCTATAGTCGACCTGAGCACGAGGGGGTAGCGCCATTTTAGATCTTGTATTGGGGTCGGGTAGAAAAACCCACTGTGGATAAGAATCAATAGTTATTCAGCTTCAATCATCTGGACATTTTTTAGAAACTACTCGAAACAGTTCAGTTCAATATGAATATGTATTCTTATTTTTTCCCATACTAAAGAACTTAAGGGTATCCCCAAAATTATTTCTGGTGTGTGTGCAAAGTGGAATAGTCATTAACAGGAAATGTATGTAAATAAAGTGAATGTATTAAGTCATTAATTTACTTCACATAAAATGAATTTAACATAAAGGAAAGAAAAATAAACACATACATCAATTTTTTCCATTATTAAAACATCTAAAATTAACTATAATTTGCATGTTTTTTACTTTGAATGTTTTAGTATGACAGTGGTTACAAAAGTACCTCTGGCCTCTGTTTACCATAGACTTAGCCATTGTAACTTATCCTCATAACAAATATTAAACAAGGTTACCATACACTTGGCCATGCTTACTCATTCTCATAACAAATATTAGACAAGGTTTACCATAGACTTGGCCATGCTAACTCATTCTCATAACAACTATTAAACAAAGTTACTATTGACTTGGCAATGCTAACTCATTCTCAGAAAAAATATTAAGCAGTCGTGGACAAATTATCTGATTCTTTGTTATCAACTACCAGGGACTAAACCATTGCACACAAAAAAACAATAAGACGATACACCACAGAAAAATCTCATCCCTGTTTTATAAAGTGGACCTACTGTTAAATACTGTAGCAGTCCAAGGGGTTGAGGAATTTTCAGATAAATACCATTTGTAATGTCACAGGCCTGAAATAGAAAAAATGTCAAATTATCAAAGTGAGATAATTTAAATCAATATTGATGTAAAAGGCTTTACTTTGGAAAAAAATTATAAAATTACATGAGTACACACCTGCTGAAGAAGACCAGAATCTGAGTCCAGCACACAGGCATCAATGACAATATTCTGGGGGTAAAAACGAGATCACAAATTTTAATGAATAATTTTTGTTTGTGGTCCGTTTTATCAATGGTGGATCTAAGAAAAATGGGATAGGTAGGGTCAGAAATTGACAGGGGATGTGGCATACTACAGCCGGGATAGGGGTTGAATTTTTTCATTAAATTTTTTTCAATCTATTTTTTCACCTTGATATTTCGCTGGTCAAGTATAACATCCCCAACAATAACAATTAATATTATGTTATTAATTTGCTATTAAAACAATGAATTACATCAACAATCCTATTACCAGTTTCTGAGCAGTGAAAACAGCATTCATAAAATTCATGTACTGTGAAGGACAATCATTAGAGCCTTTGATTATCTGAGGAGTGAAATTTGAATGAGTGCATAAGTTTTCCTACACACCTTAGTGTTTTAACCATGAAATTTAGATTTTCAACAACTGTAGATACAAGTGAATAATTGCAAGAGTCACTCTGAGGAAATATTACATGAAATATTCTCACAAATCTTGATGACTGAAAGAGGAACTGTCCTCACTATTTAGAGAGAGTTATGGTTACAATGCATCATTGTCAAGGTGTTAGTATCACTGAGCGTCATTGTTGTGACAGCCGTTCTATAAGCGTAAGGATACTAAGGCTAGGGGGTAGTACAGTAGTGTGTGCAGGTGGGCTGTTGGTCAGTAGAGTAGGGGAGAGCGAGTGGGGTAGGACGCTGACTGTATCAGTGTTAGTGTTATTGTTAGTTGGTGTTAGTAGTGTGCAAGTAGTAAATAGTAGTGTTGTGATCCATGTAGTATGTCTGGTTCTTTGGTTGAGCTTGTTAGCAGAACCCACATTACTAAAGGGAGAACTTATTAGATTAGAGAGTAGTGAAATAAAAGTTAGAACACATAACTGAGAAGAACTCTTGTGTTAAGTCTTTATGTACTCTTGTGTACTTTGTGTTTGGTGACCGTGTGTTTTAAGTATCAAATACCACTAGACAACGGAGACACACAAATAAGATCGTGGCAATCATCCAGACCTGATTATACTCCCAAAATGGAACAATATGGTCAATATCATACACTAATGTATCACAATAGCAAATAATAAACATACAATGAGTATAATGTAGTATACAATAACTACTAATTCATGTTGAGCTGTCGTTGAAAAAATAGGAATTTGAAGCAGAGCTCAAAGCTCTGGAGCAGGGTCTTTTGCCCAGAACTGTAGCTGGTACAATTTCTTTTTTTGCTCCGAGTTCCAAATTTCATTTAAAAATTGATTTTTAGAAAGAAAAAAAAAATTTCATTTGAACTTTTTAATTTTTCAAAAATTGATTTATTAAAATTGATGTCCTATTCTTCTACCAGCAATGTTGTTCCATGCTGCAACAAACAATGTTGACCCATGCTGCTACCAGCTATGTTGTCCTATTCTTTTAACAGCTATGTTGTCCCACTCTTCTCCTTGTGAAGTTTCCCCACTCTTTTACAGATATGTTGCCCTTACTCTTCTAGCAGCTGTGTTGCCTTCGCTCTTCTACCAGCTATATTGCCCCACTCTTAAGCTATGTTGCACCCACTATTCTACCTATGTTGCTCCACTCTTCTAGCAGTGCTATTGCCTGACTTTTCTTAAAGATATGTTGCCCCTCATTCTTCTACCAGTGCTGTTGCCTCACTCTTTTACAGCTATCTTAAACCCAGTCTTCTACCCGATGTTGCCCCACTCTTTTACTTTTATCCAGTCTGTTACCCCACTCTTTTACTAGCTCTGTTGCTCCACTCTTTTACTTTTATCCAGTCTGTTGCCCCACTCTTTTACTAGCTCTGTTGCACCACTCTTTTACAACTTTGTTGCCCCACTCTTTTATAGATATGTTGTCTTACTCTTGTAAGTTTCAGTTCTGCATCCTGTGGCTAAATATACATTATAGATCATATCCTCTATACAGAAATACCCAAACTATATAGATCAGACTTAAATAGACAGATTTGATCATTACCCCAACTTAATTAAATCATCAATTATTTAACAAAGATCTATAAGTTTGTTATATAAAGCTTTATCTACATGCCCCGCAGCTTACGAGAATTCGAGTTGACAGTGTTTCTCCAATGGGACACTCTTTCTCAAGCCTGTGGGTATCTGAGCTTAGATTTAAGGAAGAGGATTTAACACCAGCACTCAGTCTAAATGTATAGCAAAATGACCACTCCTTTAAGATCCAGTAATTCTGTTGTGTTTTTCTCTTTCTTCAAAAAAGTAAAGGATACAACAGAGGGCCATTGATATTGCGCCAGCTACCAGTGAATCTGAGGGCTGCTCTGCCACTTCATACATGTCATCGATTTTTACTTTATCTGAGGACAGAGACAACACGCTTTTACAAGAACTGGATGAAAATGCAATTAACTATATACTGCTTTTTTTTATATAGATCTGTCTATACCCACCTCTACCCCCAAAACAGACATCAGTTCATACATTTCCATCCTTTTATTCACACTTTTTTGAAGCAGGAATCAAACAAATATATTGCAAAGATTAATAAGACACTAACAAATAGTGTCAATAGAACAATATGAGTTAGCTTTAATAATAATTATACATTATACACAATTAAACGTTTCGGCACATGCCTTCATCAGTACAAACAAACAAAACACATTTAAATAAGTATAAATTAAATTTACATAATATCAATATACATATCCTACCTAAAACAGAAAAAATATAGGAGAGGGCGCTAAAACCAGACAAAAACAAAGTAAAGCGTAATTTTCTTTAGCAAGCGTAATTTTCTTTAGTTCACCTGCTGCAATTAATCTCTGAATTTGTGATCTTAGTTGTCCCTCCACCTGACTGAAGACTTCATACTGTCCATCATCAGGCAATTTCACTGCCATACTTTTCTCAGACTGAGGGCGTGGGTAGAGAAACACACTGGAACCAATAGAGGAGATAGAGAAATTCATTAGGTTGGTGAAGTAGCCAATACATTAAAGGTGTTGTCAATGAAATGTTGCAATATTAGTACTTTTTGGTAAAAGTAGTTGACAGCTTAAATCCTGTCAACACACATACTTTTTATTATCCCCGTAAAGACCTGTAGGCCAGCAGATGTTATTAAAAGCTGTTTTATTTACAGCACTACACTTAATTTTTTTGTCGCAGCCTTGGAGACAATTTTAAAGTAAACACCTAAGCAAAAAGTACATTTCTAAAAATAATAATAATTTTAATAGGAGTAAAAACCTATGATCTGTGTGAGCAGCTATTACAGCCAGTTTGTTTTTATGGGTGAGCATTAGATGAGAATCAGCCAATACTGTTACACAATCAACACAGTGACTCAGGGTAAGCTTGAGTAAAAACAGGGAAGAAGAAAAAAATGAGATTTAAATTTTGAAGTATATTAATATTTTTGTTCTGGAAACATTTTCAACATAATTTTTCAAATCAAAGCAATTGTTCTGGATCCATGCAATCAATTAGAGCATCAAATAAAAAATTTGGTCAGCAACTTTGAGTTGAAGTGAAGCAAATAATCCATAGTATGTAGTAGTCAAAAAAGAATGTATTCAATGAATAATGAAATATCCTCATGCCTGATCATTAGCAAGCTGCTTCCTGCCCCACCATACAGGATTGGTGTCAAGAATAATGATAAGCAAACTGTTATTCTGTTTATCTGAAAATGTCATTTAAAGAGACAATGTTATTATGGTACAAAATATATATATATATATACAAAAATAGAAATGTGTTTTGCATACAAAAACCTGGCATGTTCCCTTTAATTGCCATCTTGACTGACACACGATGTAACAAACTAATTGAATGAATAAGATTGCTGCTGCCAAGTGTTTTTTAAGGTTTCCTCTACTATCAAAACACAATAGACATTAAAATATTTAATGAGAATTTATTATATTTCATTTACAGCCGGCCTGCACAACATACGGCCCGCGGGCCGCATGTGGCCTGCCAGCACCCACTTTGTGGCCCGCGAAGTAAAGAAACATTCCTTATTCTTATTCTTTCCTTGATAGGTTCCCCCCCCGTCCTATTTTTTTTGGCCCGCACAAGTCTTGTCCTATTTTCTTTTGGCCCGAACAAGTTTTTCATAAAGTATTACGGCCCGCCTTACATTTTGAGTTGTGCAAGCCTGATTTAAAGTATTCAATAATTGATCAAAGTATTAATATCATCATCTCATGGAGTATTTAATTACCTTCCATTTTCTTTCTTTTATAACTGAGTTTGAGTTGATGGGTTAACTAAAGGCTGACAGACTTCTTTTTGTAGCTGAGCTGCATCATGTAGGCCTAAAGAAAAATTTAATTTACAATGTTGCATTAAAATTAATGATTAATGACATTAATGACTATTAATGTTATATTAATAAATTTAATAAGTATAGACAGTATAGTGTGTAGTAATGGGAACAGCATAATCATAAATTAAGGTACTTCTGTAAAGTGATGGACTAGAACAAGCTTCCAAAAGGAACAGTTGAGAGAGTGAGAGGTGTCTAGGACACATTTGAGTCTATTGCCTCCTGCCCTCCAACCCCCAGTAACAGTTCATAATACCATCTCTGAGTAGCCCTTGCAACCAGTTAAGTATCTCCTTCAAAATTATGCACAGTTACTTACACCGCGAACCCCTCTGAAACATGTAACACATAGGATAGGAGACAGAATGACAAACAATGATTTCAATGAATGAATGAATGATTAATAATATAATGAAAATGACATTGAATTAAGCGAGGGCCCTCAAAATAATCCCCCCCCCGGCCAAGTCTTACCCTGCCTACAACAAAGCTATCTCACTAATACTAATAGTTCAAATTTAGTTACGGCGTGTTTCTTTTTTTATTCATAATTTTTCATTCCATGTTTATTTATATATATATTTACTTTACAATCAGGCACAACGCCATATTGTTTATAGGGGGCATTTAAATCTGTTAAAATGAAACGGAACAATCTTTTTTTTTTTTTTTAAATCTCTTTTCATTTCGGTGGTAGATTTAAGATACGGGAAACTACGCTTACCATGGCAATAATATCGTACGTAACTCCATCACCGTAACACCCAGATTAATTTTAAGGTGAAGTAAATGGAATGGGGATGCTAAGCGCTCTATAATGCGACTCTGTTACATCAATCAATAAAAATAACTTTTTCTTTCTAACAAATTCAAACTATACTGACATTTATTTTAGGAAAGAGTTAGGTCTATTTAGAGAACGCCTACCTATTTAAATTGCCCATGATATTTTAAAAGCATATGCCAGAAATAAAATTAAACTTGTTGGATAAGTCATTCAATACAGGCCCCATTTTCTGGGGAGTTTTTTTCTGGGTGTCCCTTTCACTCAATAAACATGGCACTTTATTTAGGGCCTTGCGAAGGGGTGGGGTGGCCCCTAGCGCCAACATCAGGGGGGGGGGAATCTACTTAGAACATTTATAATGAATTAAATGATAATCTCCGTGTATTTCACAAAGACAAGGGGTGGTAAGTTGTCTTTTTACTGGTTCGCTCCAGTATTGGTGGGATGCCATTCTGCAGCATACCCTATGTGGGAACAGAGGTAGTGGCCGCTCTCTCTACGCAAATTTTTCCAAAAGAGGTGTCTTTAAGAATTTAAGGATGTTAAGCGTGACCGTGTTTTGAAAAGTGAAAGAGCTATTCCGAGAGAAATCTCTTTTTTTTTTAAGGTACAAAGTATCATGGCTCTGGAAAGATGCTCTGTCAATGGATGGGAAAGTCTGATCGAACTGTTAACGAAAATGAGTTACATCGGAGAATCTCTCATTGCTATGTAAACTTGAACCTCTTACACAAAAGTTAGAAATTTCACATTATCGTAGCTTGCAAATGTGGCTACACAAAGTGTTGTTCAACCTGTCTCTATTCCTTAAACAATTGGTGAGTGGGTGGTTCGCTGATGTTCAGTTTCATGATGTACCTCCTAATCCTTATAGGGGTGAACATAGCACCTTCACCTTCTGAAGAACATGGGTGTGATTCTCAAGAGACCCATTTCCAACAACTCCCCATCACAAATTTCTAACACCTCAGGGAACACGTGGCTGTTGGAGCTATGCACAGTTGACAAGATGCGGCAGTTCCAGTACTGTTATTTTGGGGCACACTTCATTTATTATTTCAATTATGATGAATGTTAAGATGTTTCAACTACAAAAATAAACCCTTAAACTATAATCATACACATTTTTTTTCAATTTTAATTTTAGTATCTTGGCATTTTTTAAATAGGAATTTCGCTTTCCCTATGCCATGCTAGGGTAAAAACCTGGCTACGCCACTGACGCCTTCTGCATTTAGTTAAAAGCATTGTCTATTCATACTAATAATTACAAAATGTCACACATTTGCAATCATTACTATAATTGATTTTCGGTAAAGGAATATATTAAGTTTAATTGATTTGACATAAGCTGTAACGTGGTTAACGGAACAGTTGCGCTCATTAGTGTATCACCGCCATAGTCATAGCGACTCTCATTAAAAACAAAAAATAAACTTTTTATTTATAAAGGGAGAGAATTTCAGTTAGTCTGATCATGTGATTTTAAAATCCTGCAAAATGGCGACATTATTGCGTTATAAAGATAGAGTTGTTGTAGTTACAGGTGGTGCATCTGGGATCGGTCTTGGAGCAGTTAAAACCTTTGGTAATTATCCAGAAAATGTTGAGAGCACAACGTTAATGACATAATAATTTTAAAAAATTACTTTATTAATTAGTCTTTTTAATTAATTAATAACTTGTCCACATTAAATAAAGACAAACAAGGCACAACAAGAACATTATTAGTTATTAGTCATTAATATTAGAAATTAACATTATAATTAATACTTATTAATATTAATTATTAAGTAAATAAAATATAAAATTTTATCAGGGTCACATACTACCCTTAGCCTTAGGCCTTAACCTTAGGAGTAAGTCTTAGATCTATAATATTTAGTTTAAGGGTTAATTTTTGCTATCTATCTGGTTCTACCCCGAGTTTCCGCGTATAGTATTATTATGTCAATAATTCAACGGGCATCCTTTGATACATCGAAACTTTGCACAATCCATAACCATAAGTCTGATTGGCTCCTTTGATGTCTAAAAAAGGAGAAAATGTCACAATGTGGTTATGACTTATTATTTTTTGCATGACACACCTACACCCTGCAGGTGATACAAAAATGTGTTGCAACATTAAAGTTTAGAAAGAACTGGTTATTGCTATAAAAAAAAGTTAAAGCTTGTTCTTGTTTAAATATATATATTTATATATATTTTTATTTTGAAAACACAAAAATTATTAAGCAGTAAACTTAAATAATCCTTTGAAAAAATTATTTTCACAGTCACATTATACTTTCTTTCATTATTGCATGCTACACAAGCGAAGAGAAATAGATATTTAATAAATTATAAATTTAGACAAAAATTGCACTTTAAATTGAAATGGAAATAGTCGTGTGTGTGCCCACCCACAAAGCCCCCTTTTGCACCTTGACTGATTGATAAAGACTTCAACTAACCACATAAAATGGTAATGATAAATTTGTTCCATGTATTATTTTTCAGTTGAAAATGGTTCAAAAGTTGTATTCTGTGATATACAAGGTAACTGTAATACCACCTTATAAAGACTATTACTAAATTGCTACACTCTACAATACAATTATGGTCCTCATCCTTTTAAATTTGAATTATCTGTATAGTTTGTCTAAATAAATTAGTATTTACCTAATTAAGCTAGACTAAAGCAAAAATAATATTGATCCATCAATTTAGATTGTACAATTATTTTTATTTTCATGCAGAATTTTACTATTTCATGATAATCTAATGATCCAGTAAATTTTATGTCATTGACTATAATGATGAAAAACAGAATGATAAATTTCAGATAATGAAGGGAAGTCTATTGAATCCTCTCTGAATGCACAAGGTCCTGGTGAATGTAAATTTGTTGTATGTGATGTCAGCAAAGAAGACCAAGTGAAAGTCAGTAAAAAAAACCATTTATTTATATATGGCTGTTTGGTGGTTAACTATGTCATAACATTAGAAAATGTATTCAATTCATTAAAAGTAGGGTAATTAAATCTCAAGCCTACCATGTAGAATTATGTTTGTATCCCCTTACATCTAGCACTAAACAATTATAAAGTCAACCCAACATATGTCAGCTGAGATTTAATCTTATAAATATTTCCTAATCCTCCAGCATATGATTAGCACAGCAGTGGAAACTTATGGAAAACTTGATTGTCTGGTCAACAATGCTGGAGCACGTAAGTTAGAGATGGGATGTTGAGACTGTTTATCATGATGACCATCATCATTTTGTTGCACCCTAAGTCTGGTATACCGGTGTTTATGCAAGGATATCTGTCTCACGCTTTTGCCCTGCCTGTTGTCACCTTCTCAAAATCTCTCCACATCATTCTCATTGAATAGGATGTTCTATTTTGCTCTCCTCTCCACACCTTAGGCTGTTAAGTTTGTAACTATGAAAAAATGTTAATTAAAGAATGATCTGTTTATATATATTTTAATGTTATATATTTCTCTTTCTATGTAGTTATAATATATCTTTAACTTTAAAAAATACTCACCTGTGTTTAATTTTTTCTCTGAAGCTGTGTAAATTTAAAGGACTTATCATTTACATTTTTTCCTGTAGAAGATGTGTCATAATTTTATTATACTTGTTTTTCAGATTTCAGTGGTACATTTTAACTTATACTGTTTATTATATTTTACTAGATCCACCTCACAAACCTATTGATGATTTCTCATCAGAAGAGTTCAGACGACTATATGAAATTAATGTACTTGGTTTCTTTAATGCCTCAAAAGTGAGGGTTACACAATAAATAAAATAATACATTTTTGCACCACTTTCATAAAAATGACCCTGTAATGGTTTAACAATGTAAAGAAAGTATTTAACTTAAACTGGTAACTTACCCAAAGGTTTAGTTGCAAGTAGGATAATTATGTGGCCTTAAAATCTGAAGTCATTTATTGGATATTGCAATAAAAAAAGCATTAAAATCATAATGTTCTGGCTTCATGATATACTAAATCTCTATACTAAACTAATGATGTAATCTTGACTTTACTTATTTTTAAAAATTATTTATTCTCTGTTTCACACAATCATGTTTAAAGCAACAAAATCAACTTTTTTCTTTCTTTTTAAGTTTGCCTTGCCACACTTAAGGAAGACTCAGGGTAATATCATTAATAACGGCAGTCTAGTTGCATACATTGGACAACCTGGGGCTGTTACCTATGCAGCTACAAAGGTATCTCTTTGTGTTCTTATAATCTCATTTATTTGCTTGAAACGTCCTTAAATTTTAAGTTGTTCTGGCTATTTGATTTTTTTTCTATCTGATTGTAATTGATAATAAAATACATCTTATTGTCATTTCTGTTTTTGAAATAAAAGACATGAGATTTCTTGCTACTTGCCAATGTTTATAAATGTTGTATTACAGGGTGCAATTATATCCATGACTAGAGCTCTAGCAATAGATGAAGCCAAGTACAATGTCAGAGTGAATTCGTAAGTTTGAATTTATTAAAACAATGTATAGATTAATATGTCTATATATAGATAAGTATAGTGTATATTAAAAGTATTCTTTATGAAATTAAATGTTGAACTTTTAGGTAAATTATTGTCCAATCTTTTTTTTAAAGAAAGACAACCTTGAAAATTATTTTTGTTTAAATTAATTTTTATCTTATCTCTAGATTCTCACCTGGAAATATTTTTACACCACTATGGGAAAAGGCAGCGCTTGACTCACCTGACTATGACAAGTGCATTCAAACAGGCAAAGATGCTCAGGTAAAAACGTAATTCAAGACATTTTAATTTTTGTTTTACATGTGGGCCAATGTAAAGGCCTTGATTGAATGTTTCAGATAAGTTAATTCGAAATGATTTTTTAAATATATGTTGATTTTAAAAGGAAAAAGGTATTTCAAATGCCTAATATGTTAATATGTATAACTGTAGTAAATCTGTTAAGATTTGGAAGGAGAATAAAGTTATTTTATTCATGAATCAAGTTATTAAAATTAATGTTTGACAATTTCAACTGTTCCATTTTTATTCATTTCAAATGGCAAACTTTAAATAGATTAAATACTACAATTAGAAACAGCTCTATGTTGTTTTCAGCTTAAATTATAATTATATAGATATGTGCATATGGCCTTTTAAAATTCATTATATTGTTTTTAAATTCAATTTAAAAGCAAACACTATTTCCTACATCTCCTAGCTCCTTGGAAGATTCGGAACTGTTGAAGAGTGTGGTTTAGTGTGTTTGTTTCTGGCAGCAGATGCAACTTTCTGCACTGGTATTAACATCAATGTAAGTGGTGGTGCTGAGCTGGATTATGGCTACAAAAACAAACTTGTAGTCCTAGCTTCATCAGAGTAGCCACATCAGCATTACTGATGAGGCTGTGTTCTCATAAGTTAAGATTTTTTTCTATTCTTTGTTCAAAATTTCAATGTTTGAAAACTGCCTGGATATCTAAAGCATAATTTTTTATTAATCAGAACTTTAAACAAAAATGTGCCATAATAATTTAATTGACAAAACCAAGATTGAGGTGTGTAGGATGAACATTTTTTTATATTTATATTTTTCTACATTTATGGTAATCATGGGGATTTGTTTTATTTTCCCCATCAATAATGATTTGATCCTAACCATAATCCAATGATATTAATATACATTGATTTTTTTGTGCCCCATAAAATCTACAACTTGTTTTGTTTGTGTGTATTAGTGTTAATGTAAACAAAGTTTTATTTTTAAAGAAATCCGTTCACAGAAGCCTAATATACCAGTATTCAAAATGATCATGATTCCAAACCTATTCCTGAAAAGGATCCCTACAGTTGAAGAGGTTCAATGAATATTCATCCTTCTCTTTCATGACCTAAAATTGTTTACATTATTTGATGTAGAAAAGAACAGTTAATTAAAGAATTCAACTTTCTCAAACTTTTCAAGAATGCCAGATTTTTTTTAACATTAGGTTATAAATCACATTCTAGAATGTCATAAAACACAGTGTAAAATTGTTAAAACAAGACGTCTTTATTTTGATATCTACCCTTTACACAGATTTTTAAAGTAATTTTTTATAAACTTGCCATAAATCTTTCAATTATGCCATAATAACCTTTCACAGACTTTATTGTTATGTACAGTATATACAAGTTAAATATATTTGTGTCTTTCCTTGTATAGCATTTACTTCTAGCTATGAAAACTATTTCAGGGTATTGTTTGAAGTATACCGGTGTAAAAGCATTTTTCAACATCATGGAAATGTTCATTACTTTAGTTTTTAAGCCTAGCTCAAATTAAATTTTATGTTTGTCTGTAATAAAAAAAGTATTTGCTCTTAGCTACACTATTTACCAAGAAAATGTCATTACTCTAGTCATAATTTATGTGAACATTTTAAACAAACTTTTTTTTATTTGACATGTACAACTTTCAGCTATCCCTACTATTCCTTGTTATAGGGTATCTCATTATATGTATTATGGATATATCACTTTCTTCCCCATAGAAATTCTGTATTAGCGATGAGACAATTATACATATCTATATATAAATATTATCAACAAAAATGAGAATTTTGCTCACAATGTAATTTGCAGTTTAAAAGTAAAGAGTTAATACTCATGTATGAGCCACAGCCTTAATAATATTGAACTTAATTACTATAGTACTAAATCATTTTTCAAACACCAGGTGAACTTGATCAGCCCTGCTGTACAAGAATTGCATGTAGGTTGGTGGTCATGTGATAAAAATATTAAAATCCAAGTCACTCTGGTTTCTAAATTTATTTTTCTAATAAAGTTCAAAAGCAATCTGATGGGATATGATTAGGTATTGTTTAAAAAAAAATACAACATTTTTATAGTGTAAATTTTTAAAAATTAATAGAAATTTTGAAAATTTAAAAAACATATTTAAGCACTCAACAGAATTTTTTTCCCTTAAATTTTAATAGGCAAATTGTATGATGAACTTATGCGTAATGCACAAAAGCTTCAATAATTTTTTAAAATAAAATTATATTCTTCTGTGATCTTTATGTCTTCTTTTCAACATCTTAAAATTTTTTATATGAGGGGGCATTAAAATAATTAGGCATATAATTTTGATGCAGCTTTTTGTGCTATTTTATATAGTGATGTGCAAGGAGTTTACGATAACAAACATATTCAACTTTACAAGTTTTGCTTTTTTAAAAAAACTTTCTATATGCAAACTTAAAACATTTTGATATCTACCATATTTTACGGACTATAAGACACACTTTTTTCTTCGAAAAATTGCCTCCAAAATTCAGGTGCGTCTTATACTGGAAATTAATATAAAAATAGTATAAAAAATAAATTTTTTTTAATTGCTTAAAAATTAAGGTGCATCCTATAGTCTGTAGCATCTTATGGTCAGTAAAATACGATAATAATTTAATGAACAAAAAAACATCAACTGAATATTACAAGAAAAATTTAAATCATTTGATTTTTTAATTATTTACAAACAACAAATGACCTTATAAATGTGGTTTTAATAAATTAAGAGGTTTGGTCCAATCCATAGGACACAACAAAAGGCATAGGAAACAAATTGACCACCATGGACACCACATCTTGTGTCATTAATACAGTGACCAAAACATGAGAAACCCTACTTTGTTGTTGTCCACTTGAGATAAAACGTGAGATCATGTTTCTTTATCTTCAGAAACCTCCTCATCAGGGGCACACTGAAAAAGAAAAATAATCGTTATGTTATTGTTTTGGAGATAACCCCTCACTATCGCTACCGTGTTTTGATAAAAGTTTCAATCCACAAAATACTTACAAAATACTCCACAAAGCAAATCTGATTCTCCTCTATCCTCAACATGTACTGTAGAGACAGAAACCCTCGGCTGTCAGTTCTTATAGAAATCCTGGTGGACAGTGTCAAGGCTTTCACTGTGGGCTTTAGGAGACTGATTTTATATCTGGGGGAAAGTAACCAATTGTGAAAAGATTTGTTCAAAGATTTTACAAAAGAACTATTTTTTGTTTTTAATAATTTGACAGCTTTTGAAGGCATATCTTTATGGAAAAAAAATGTAAAAACTTTAAATTTAAGTTATTAGATGAGTAGAAGAGACTTAACAGACATGAAGCAAAATAAAGCTTTTTTTTTTCCTTCCGTTTACTAAATGTATAATGATAATATGATCTTTTTTAATTCACAGAGGTTGATTAACATTTGCCCATTCATCCATTGCAATCAACCAAACCACTAATAATAATATTTGCAACCATGAAAATAGAAAAACTATTATCACAGTGTAACTCTTCTGAATTACCAGAACATTTTTGTTTTCTTGCTTACCGATTTGTTTGTGTCTGTGTGCACTGGAATGACTCTACCATTTCTGAATCTTTGGGGAATGACGACTGCAAAGAAAACAAAATTATGAAATTTAAAAGTATCTGTAACTAAACAGAGTGTTTTTTTTAAAGTATTTTTAAAAAAGTATTTATTATTTCAAGATGGACATGGATCAGTTTAGGGTCCACGCAAGGAGATCAAAGAAAGTTCATGAACACGGTCCAAGTGGAAGGATGTGGTGTTGGGGTGGCCAGAGCCCTTCGTGGGCTGCAGAGCCCATGATGAATTAAAGTTTAAAGTCAACATCAAGACTGCTGTTTTTAAAAAAATGTAATGCTAAAAATCATAATTAAAATTATATTTTTTTAATACCATTGTTACCGGCATGTAAGACAACTTAACCCATAAAAATCTGTTCAAAAGTCGGGGGCTGTCTTATGAGCTGGTATACAGCATGCTGAAACTTCAGGGACATGTGCCCTCTAGTTCCAGTTTGGTTGATAGCTTAGAAAACAAACAGCATGGCAGCTCCCAATGGGTTTATTGGTTTATCCTTCCTTTTAGCTTTAGAGTGAATTAGAAAAAGTTTAATCCACTTGCACTGTTTTATGTTTACATGTTTGATGACATGTTAGATGACTAACAGCCTTATGTTTATAAGTGAAAGTTATCATAAGCATTTGAATTAAAATTACCATATTGAAATCAAATTTGATGTTTTTTTTAATTTGCGTTGGAAGAGGGGTAGTCTTATACGGCGAGTGTAGCACAAACCCTATATTAGAACAGGAAAAGAAGAAGGTCGTCTTGTATGCCGGAAAATACGGTACTTTAAAATTCATCCTAAAAAAATATGTTTTTGACAGCAACTTACATGCATGCTTCCAGAATTGCCAAAGGTAGAGAACTGGAGGTAAGGCTGATCAGGGGACATGAGAATCTGTAGCACTTCACTAGTTGTGTCCAGCTCATTAAACACTTCCTTCAGACATTCACTCTGTGAAATTTACCATTTGGAACACTTGAATTTCTGTTTACATTAGTTACATCGTCAAATTGAAAGTGTAACAATCATTGACAGAATAGCATTTTTAAGGCTTAAATAATTTTAAATGCTGAAAATTCAAGATGATTCAAGTTGCAAGTAATGCTTTTCAATAGCTGCACTATTTTATGATGCACAATATAGTTATTTGCCTGTGAATATACATTTATATATATGGAGACAGGGCTGATATTAAAAAATGTTACAACTTAAAAGCAAAGTACCGCTTAACAAGCGCATATTACCAAATATTGTATCTGGCGTAATATTTAATTGCTAGATCTAACCTTCTGCAACCAAGCCTGTGAGTGGGCATGTACTCATGTATATTACCTTCATAATGATTTTATTGACCACATCAGCACTGCAGAAATCAAAGTCCAACACCTCGTCGGGCTCTAATGTTTTTATGCTACAGTCTGTTAACACCCCATCTTCTTCCAACCTGAATGAGAACACAAAAAACATGTCATATGAGAACCAATGAAAAAAAACAGGTTTTAAACATCAGTTAAGAGAAATCCACTTTATTTTTTTTTTTTTTTTTTGTTTGCGGAACTGAATCATAAAATTTGATGTTTAAAGATAATTTAACTTTTTTTTTATAGACTAATATATAAAAGAATATATTAGTAGGAAGAATAACAAAATATCTTGTACATTAGAATAAGTGGGCATCCATAGCCAGCGTAACACATCTTCAAACTGGTGTTAACTCCAGGTAAGGCACTGCTTCCAAAAATTTGTAAGCATTCCTGTGAAAACGAAGAAAAATAAACTAAATAAGCAACCATCTAGAGCGAGTGTTACTTGTGCAATATATTACTGTATTTTCTGGCGTATAAGACGACTTTCTAGACCCAAATTATAGTGCCAAAATTTGGGGGTCGTCTTATACGCCGGGTACAATGGCCGAAATATAGTTTTAATGCCCGCCGAGTGCTCCACACCTTGTACAAGAGGTAGCCAGATCGGTGCCAGGCCCGCCAGGTGGTCGGTAGCGGGTATAGAGGCGAATCCCGGTGAGTGAAGAGGCCGCCACTGCCGCGTGCGCGGCAATGTAGTAAGGGAACATTAAAATTACTGTGTTTAAATAAAATCTTTTAAGTTTGATGTGTTTTGGTGATTTTAAGTACCAGAAGGCAACAGTTTTCATTAAAATTACCACGTTTAAATCAAATCTGACGATTTTTTTTATGTTTCTGATATTTTTTAAAATGGTGTTGTCTTGGAAGGGGGTAGTCTTATACGGCGAGTATATCCCAAACCCAATATCTTTCCTGGAAAATTATTGGGTTGTCTTATACTTATACGCCAGAAAATATGGTAGTTCACAGTGTTTATTCATGTTGGAAAAAACACTAAAAGACCCTATGTTAAAAAAAAAAAAAGCACAATACTTTGTAATATTAGTGTAAGTACATAGTTTCTATGGCACTTGTCTTTAGATGTATAAAACAATTATTGAAGTAGTGAAGTTCAAAAGCCTTTTGTTAAGACAGCTGTTGTTATTTTAATTAAAAATAAGCATGGTTACCAGTAAAACAGTCAGATTAATTTTGAATGCCAGTTGGTCTTCTTTGATGTTGTAGTGATGGAACAGATCGGACTGAATAAAAGCATTTGCCTGGACACATTTGGCATCCTCCACTGTAACCTTCAGGCCCATAGCACTAGCAAACACCGTGGCTGTCTGATAAAGCAGACAATTTATTAAGATAAAATAAAAAGTCTGCTGAGTTGCCAACAAATTTTTTCGCATTAATTTCAATTTCTAATAAATATTAAAAAAGCTAGGAGAGTTATTCTCTGGAGTTAAATAGAAACTGTCAAATGACAAGGATGTCATTATTGCAGGAAAAAAAATGTTAGCGATACTGACTGATCTGTTTGAGTATACATTTAATTTTTCACTTAACTTTAGTGTAAAGTTAGGTTACATGACAAAAACATGGTGATGGTTTATGAAATTTTATTTTGATAATGTATGTAATTTAACAATTGTCTCCAGCCTGCTACAAATCTCTTTGAAAATTACTTTCTAAACTTTTATTGTATTAGAGGAAAAAATACATGAGAAAATGAAAACAGGATTTAGATTCACGAATAAATGTTAAACAAAACTATGCAGTTTTATTTATTTTGTTACAACAATAGTTTACTTACATCTTTGAAATGAATTGCTTTGAGTATGGTTGACAAATTTCTGGCATTGTCATGCTTGGCAACGAGCAAAAACTGACTCTCATCATCTCCTCGATGAGTGGAGAGAAAAGTTGAGGGCATCCTTCAAAGTTATACTATCTCTTGATATATCATGACATATGGAATAATAACCTGAATTTAGAAAAGAAGATCATTACAGTTTAATTCAAAAGATTGCATCATAGAGGGTGCCTCTAAGAGGGATGAGGAAGACAGACAGAATATAAAAAATGTAATATGTTTTTGAGAAAAGGAGAGGGGGGGGGGTGTTTTTTGTTCGACTGTGTCTAAGCCCAATTCTTTTGTTGCAGTCAGGTCCAGATTAACTGTGATGCCCTTAAAACATGTGCTTAGGGCATCAGGAGACAGGAAACGTTACAAACTACACAGAAAAAAAAAAGATTTTTTTAATCAACAAATATCCATTAAGTTGGAGATATTTTTGATACACTGTGTCAGTTTATATCTCCTCCTCATCATCTGAAAGGTAAATGTATTTTCTGGGAAGTGAAAAGTTTACCAATGCTTATCCAGAGAACATAATTAACAATAGCATATCTTCTGTTGCTCTAATTAAGAGTATTGCAAATCTAAATTCAGATATGTGTCAAAATGCATCCCAGCAGTTTGAACTTATCAAAAAAAAATTCTCATTGAGCACCACCCCTCTACGTTTGAGGGGGCCTTTGGTGCCCTGAATTTCTGCCTTCCCCCCTCCCCCAATCAAAGTTACAGCACCGGCACATTTTTATCTATTCAAAAATAAAACTTCTACGAGATAAGAGCAGAAGTATCAAACATCCATAAACTAAAGGACCATAGGTAAGTATTTGACTTGCAATAACTTGTCCTTGCAAGTCCAAATGAACTTTTGGTTGTCCATTAACAAAAACCAATTGTCTTTAGGCTTTTGAAGTGGAACAAATAAGACCCTGGGGTTCCTAAGTTGCAATCTAAAGGTCAGCAACTCAAGCGTGAAAGAAAAAGCCTATAAAGCCTTTGTCCGGCAGCTTTTAGAGTACGCATCTACATTCTGGGACCCATTTACCCAGAAAAGCATCGACAGGTTGGAGGCGGTCAAGCGATGGGAAGCACGCTTTGTCCTGAACCGCTACAGAAATACCTCAAGAGTTGGCAGCATACTAGAAACACTGGGCTGGTCACCATTGGAAGAATGACGACCGACGACTATCCAGGCTCACCATGTTGTACAAGATAAAAAATGGGCTGGCCCACTGCTCCGGCATCAAACAGAAACTCGTCCATCTTCCCCCTAGACAGCAACGAAGCCAAGACAGGCAGTTCCGGCTAATAAAAACAAGAACTCAGTACAGGAACTCCTCATTCTTGCCAAAGACAATAAGGGACTGGAACAAGCTTCCAAAAGCAACAGTTTAGGCGGCTACACTCAACACATTTGTGTCTATTGCCTTCTGTCTTCCAACCCCCAGTTCATAACACCACTTCTGAATAGCCCTTGCAACCAGTGAAGTATCCCCTTGAAAACCATGCACAGTAACATCGTGAACGCCTCTGAAACATAGGAGCCAGAATGATCAATTCATTTGTCGTGGGCCCTCAAAATAAAGAAGAAACTGGAAAATCTCAGCGTTTGTGATTTCTTCATACTTGCTTTAACTGATAAACCAACAGTTTGAATAATACAATAATGTGCTAAAAGTTTTTAAAAAATGTCCCTCAAAACTTCAGCATTGTTAAATTTATATGACTAACAAATGTGGGACACCCATGAACTCAATTTTCTTTGTTTCATCTCAATTGGAGGTAAGGAAATGGATGAAAATTGAGATGCAAGATTTGACCTGCAGAGGTCACTCAAGGGCCAGTGAAAGTCAAAGGTGACCTGCTGGTCATGAAGGATTGTAATGTCATCAGAGGTGTGGGAAGTATGCAAAGTTTCAACTCAATTTGACATCAAGTGGGTCAAAATTGAGTTGCAAAATTTGACCACCCACAAACAAACCATATAAATTTTTAGCAGTGTTTACAGCAAAGAATCTGAAGAAAAAAACATCGCTGAGGCCAAAGTAAATTTAGGTGGCATTTTCCCAATCGCAGGTGTATGGACAAATTTAACTTTGGTTTTCTTAATTATAAACAGTTTCTTATGTGTAAATGTCATTTTGTAGGTAAATATTCCATAAGATAGATTTAAAATATTTGTTAGTTTAATGTTTAATAAGATATTGTTAATTAATTATTAGTATTTACAACAGAAAAATAATTTTAAAATTATATAAATACGCCAACTTACATGTTAATTTTAAATATCCAAAACATATAAAGCCTCTCATTTAGTGGTTACCATATATTATATCCAATAATAAGAAAAATTAATCCAAGAACACATAAACTGAATAATATTTACACTTCCAATAACTTATATAATCACATCAATCCAATTTCAAACATTTTTTCAAAAAGTCTGAAAAAAATCTGTATTTGAAAAATAAAGCACTTATCCCTCCCAAATTATGTACAGAATATAGCCAACGTCTTTAAACACTTAAACACCTGCAAGGTCTTGAGTATGGAACAGTACGAAAAATTTCTTTGGGTGTAAATAAGCCTTGTCTGGGTAACAAGTGCAAACACAATTTTTTACCAGCTCTTTTCAATGGAACTAAACATACAACACAGTTCCTGTCTTTATCAGTGTGATGCACAATATGCCTAGCACTCTCAGATATTTAATATTTCTTTTCCTTCTTTGAATTTTCTTCCAACTTTATGGTTGATAGTAGCTACTAGGCCGAATAAAGGATGCAGCCTTCTCATTCAGCTGATGAATCAAATTATCACCAGCATGACACAGGGTGTAAGTGTAAAGGATATGTGCATTTACTTGAGAAATTTCAATGATCCATGAAAAGATTTCTTCCACCACTTTCTGGTATTCCTTTAAAAGATACTATCTGGTCACATCGAATCATGCACTGGTTATACAATTGCCCTTATTCTGGTTTTTCAACAATGTTACCACTTCAAGTGGTAACCTGCTCCATTTGATCTGAAGTGTTAGTAGATACAAGCCATGGTTTTTGCCTTTCTTATCTAGCCAAGCAACACATATATGAATTTTTTTCTGTTGGTGTTGACTGTGCCAGTGTAATGAATTCCCCTACTCAACAAATAAGTAATTAGTGCCCACAGTGTAGTAGGCCTACTATCTGGAAAAAAAACAAGCGGGCCTTGTCCAATTCCTTGCAGCAGATAATCAAACACCTTCAATGCCTGACATGCATGGTCATTACCAAGGACAAAAGAAGTGTTTTGTCCAAAGTATGTTAATACAACAAAAACAAAATGTTAATACAGAGTAGAAATACCCTGTAGTTGAATCAAACAGTCCTAAGGACTTGATGTGATGATTGCTTGGCTGGAGGCATTGTACTGTTTGTCCTATCAGTCATCTTAGCATTTTCAAGGAATTTTTTATGGTCCAGGATGTGCATCTTCTTCCCAGTCACTATGGCATGGGTGCCACTGTTCTTGCATTTATTAAAATCAGTGCTAAAATTATTTTCAATATCAGTTTCTTCATCATCACGGAATGAGTCTGTCATCTGTTGAAATAGTCTTCTAGCCTAGTCAGCATTTAGAGGAGACAACAATTACAGTTTGGTAACTTAATGGCTTGGAAAATAAATCAAAATTATTAAATAGCCAGTTTTTTTTAAACCTTCTGTCGACAGCATGTGGTTCATAAATAAGCATCCTGTTGATAAATAAAAATCTCAAACTAAAATGGGAACAGGATAATGTAAATATTTGACTACGAATCAAGCATTCAGAATCAAGCATTCATGACGCCAGTAGTGTAGCTTGTAGACAGAACTAAAGAGGTGCTTTGGCCTTGGCGCTCCCAGTGGCTTATGGTGGTTATAAGTTAACCAGTTAAACACTAATCTTTTAAATTTAATGATCACATAAAAAGAAATTAACAAACACTGATGATTAGAATTAGAGTGCCACACATTCCCACAATAAACGAATGACGAATGACTTATACTAATACTAATGCCAAGGCTATTCTATTAGAAATGAGCAAAACAAACTTAACAAAGTAACAAAGTATGGGAAAACGTGGAAAAAAACTAGCAGGATGTTTGTCTTTTTCAATTTTGGTTGTTACACTGAACTCACAGACAACGTACATTAGTAAGACTGAACACACAGTGACACAGACAACCCTCACTAGCCTAGTAAATAAATAGTAACAACAGTTACTGAACTTGAAAACTTAATTTGATCCACTAAATCTAGGCACTCGACTAGTAATAGATCACCTTACACTAGAGCAAATCTGTTACAGTATTATTATTTCATTCATAATTATTTAATTAATTTCTTAATTATTGTTAAATATCCAAGGTGGCACGTCAGTAAACCTACAGCTGACTAAAGCTGTTCATCGGGGTTGTAAATAACGTAGCTAATCTACATCCAAAGCTACGTCTACGTTTACCGCGGCTAAAAATGTGGTGAGTGTGACAACAAAAGAAAGGCTACTCTAGTAAAAAAAAAATGTTAAAACAGTAAGTATGCTATAATTACGGGCCCTGTTTGTATCAGCCAATGATGATATGATGATGAACCCGTCATTATTACTTTTGATGCATGGGAACGTCGTAGTTCAACCGCTGAAGGATTCGATCGAAATCTGATAATTTGCTTAATTTCAACGGCGCAAATTGATCGATGTCTTTCTCGCATTTTCAACGTCTCTCAGTCTCATGCTATGTCAATATATCCATTCTCTCTATTTCAATCTCTCTTACTCGCACTATCTCTATTTCAATCCTCCTCACTCTATAATTACTTTCTCTCAATCTATTTTTTTCTTTTTCACAATATCTCTCTATTTAATTCTCTCTCACAACTCTACCTTTTCAATCCAACCCTCAATCAATATATAAATTTCTCTCATTTCATCTCAATATCCCCTTTTCTCTCTATTTCAATCTCTCTAAAGTTCAGTCTCTCTCTCAGTCTCTTTCTATTTCAACCTCTCTCTGTTTTCCAATCTCTCACCCTCTCCCTCTCTCTATCTGTCTATCTCTTTTTCTCTCTCTGCATCTATCTATTTATTTCAATCTTTCTGATACTCAATTTATTCAATATCGATATATCTCAATCTCTCTATTCCAATCTCTGTCTTCGACTCTTCCTCGTTTTCGATTTCGTTCTATTTTATATGCCCATTACATTTGCATCCTAGAACTGCTGAGGGACAGTACCATCTTTCCATATCGCCTCAGTTAGCTCTGTCAGTCTTTTTGCTGTGATGACTTCACTGTCACTACCTGCTGTGATGACTTCATCGTCACTACCTGCTGTGATGACTTCATTGTCACTACCTGCTGTGATAACTTCATTGTCACTACCTGCTGTAATGACTTTATTGTCACTACCTGCTGTGATGACTGTCATTGTCACTAACTGCTGTGATGACTGTCATTGTCACTACCTGCTGTAATGACTTCATTGTCACTACCTGCTGTGATGACTTCATCGTCACTACCTGCTGTGATGACTTCATTGTCACTACCTGCTGTGATGACTGTCATTGTCGCTACCTGCTGTAATGACTTCATTGTCACTACCTGCTGTGATGACTGTCATTGTCACGACCTGCTGTGATGACTTCATTGTCACTACCTGCTGTAATGACTTCACTGTCATGATCTGCTGTGATGATGTCATTGTCACTACCTGCTGTGATGACTTCACTGTCACTACTTGCTGTAAATACAGACTTTTGTTGTCTACGCAGCTGCTTATGTTCATCATAGTGTACCGACAGCTGCTGACGTGAGCCAGACCTGCCATGCGGCTGTTTAAGATGGGGTGAACCGGTGGCGGAGAGGCCAAAAGACCGAATGGGGACCCAAGCCGTTAGCCTGTAACTCGGTCCCAGGAGCACCTTGCCACGCCCCTGTTTCCGATGTACTAAACTTGTGAACAGGTAACTATTACCCGTGAGAACCACGTCTCACCCGTTCCTGCCATTACAAATTACACTACATTTCTAAAGTCAATGCTTCTCTAATGGTTTCGGTTATTTGTGTCAATTCCTGCAAATAATAAATAAAACTTTGAGAGGGGAAATTGGATACAAAAAAATAAAAAAATTAGCGATAGTTCCGAGAAGCTGTATAACAACCGATGGGTTACTTCCCTAACCGACGATGCTGGGTCATTTCCTGTCAACTGAATGTCTATAGAACGTGCTAAAAGTGTTTGTCTCCGTTTTTTTTTTTTGGTTTTTTTTTTTTTTTTTTTTGTGTGCTGTCGAAGGCGTTATTTGCCGAAACTTCCACTTTTTTTATTGTCCTTCTTCGGGTTTTCCTCTACCCAGTGCATATTTCTAATTGATTCAACCTTAACGCAGTGCTACCCATATTTATTTTATAACAACAACTAGTCCCCCGGCCATCTTTTTTATCGCACGTCACACACATTGACATTTTTAATTTCTTTTTTAAAAAAAATAAATAAAATTACTTTTTTTTTAAAAATCAAGCCCTTTTTGTGTCATGGGAAGAAAATTTAATGGCGCAATTATAAATCATACTCGAATTTATTATGCCTTTTTTTACCCCCAATTTTCAGGTTTGAAACCGGTAACAATGGGATTGGTTAGGCGGGGGGCGTCATTTCAGGTTTTTTCAAGGGGAGTTTTTCAAGGGGGCAAAACCAAAACTTGGTCGGCTTTATTAAGTTGTTGTTTTATTGGAGATACCACAGTATATAGCAACTGAAATAAAATCCTGCAAATTCAGGATGGTCCACCCTGCTTTACCCAAATGACACCCTGTGGGTAGATAACACATGTGGCAAACCAAGAGTAAGGGAAGAAGGGCGACCTACTTTTGTTAATATCTATTCTATTTCCATTATTGTGTACTATATGTGTGTAAGAGGCGCAATTTTGGACAAGGTACGCCATTGGGTTAACACGCAGGGATTGGAAAATAAAAACACATGGTGTGTTTAAGTTTTTGTTTTTTTTAAAATGCATTTAAAATTTCGAACAGTTCAAAAATTAAAATTAAATGGTCGCCACCTTTAACAAACGCTTGTTAATTGCATCATATATACATAATTTTCCCCCTTGAAAAACAGGAAATACTGATTTTTAGGGTTGGGGGGCTAAAAATTTGAATAAATAATGTGTTGTCATCGGAAACGAGTCCATGTGCCAAGTTTAAGCTCGTAATGTTGACTGGAAGTGGGTTAATTAGCCGTCCGAAGATTTTGCCGCATACCTTTTAAACAGAAAGAAATACACGAACAAAAGCAAAGTTAATATAAAGGATTTTTTAAAAAAAAAAAAGCAATGCAATAATCAGCAGGGGCGTACACCCAAAGTGAGCCTTTTTCGCAGGCGCCGACACTCAATTGAAAGGGAAAATGCGCACCAATGCTATCAT